CCCCTAAAAGAGAATTTCATTGTTTCCATTACTAAACTGGCATTACAAAAAAAATTAATTATATTTTGAATATTGTCAATACATTTTTATAAAAAAAAATCTTATAAATACCTACATAATATCCTTGATTTTGTCTTTTGCCGCATAAAGCCTAAAATATGTACTATCTCACCTTTTACAGAGAGAGTTTGCTGGTACTTAGTGTAGATTCACGATTTATTTGATCAGTGCCCATATGATAGACATTTAACTTATTTGTAATCTTCTGTTAACACAAATGGCCCTTCATGAACTACATTGTGCATTTATCATTTCTTATATTTAGTGTAAATATTCTTTCTTGCTACAGATTTCTTAAAGGAGGATTTTGGGTGAAGTGGTAAATGACTATGAATTTACTAGATTTGTTTAGTAATGCTTGTACTCTTTTGCATTATTACTGTTAATGAAAGTGTATGTGTTCCTTCTATCTTACTGTCAGTGTATAGTGGGGTTTTGCCTTTCTGATATACAGTAAATGAAATTTTAGGATGGTTTTAATTTGTATTTCCCTTACCTTCAGTGATGTTGAGCATATTTTCATGTCAGTTTGTCATCTTCATAAGTTTACTCTTTAACTGTCTTTTTCTTGTCTTTTCTAGAAACTACACATTTGAGATTTTAGGATGTCTAAAATCTGTTTTTCAAATCTCTATTTTATATACTAGGGATATTAACCCTTTTCTACATAAATTTCAGACATCCCTTCCCCCCAAGTTTATCGTTTATCTTTTTGCTTTTGGTGTCTTTTTCCATGGTCCATCCTCCCAAGTTTTCTTTATATTTTGCAATGCTAGGATTGAACTTTGATTCTCTCAGAAGGCGGGCACTCTACCACTGAGCTATACCCCACCCCTAAGTTTTCTTTTTTTATATTGTTAAGTAGATCAGTAGATATGTGTTATCTTTTGGTGGTTGGTAGAGCAAGTGTTCTAATTCCCTTAGTATTTTTTATCTATCTGATTTTCTAGAGGGTGCTATGAATTTACTCTATTTATATCAACTTTAATGTTTTGTATATCATAATCTTGTACATGCTGTTTGTTCAGCAAATACATAAGGACAATAATTTTAAGATGTTGTATAGAATATAATTAAGTATAGTCATTTTTTAAATCCCTCATTTTATTTATTTATTTTTATGTGGTGCTGAGGATTGAACCCGGGGCCTTGCACGTGCTAGGCGAGCGCTCTGCCACTGAGCCATAATCCCAGCCCAAATTAAGTATATTCTTTTTTTTTTTAATATTTATTTATTTTTTTAGTTATCGGCAGACACAACATCTTTGTTGGTATGTGGTGCTGAGGGTCGAACCTGGGCCGCACGCATGCCAGACGAGCACGCTACCACTTGAGCCACATCCCCAGCCCCCTATTCTTTAGTTTAATATTAACTGTAGGAAGTAGGGGGTAGGAGGTGGAGATGGAGAGATGATACAAAGATTAATAAGACACATTTTGTTTGTACAGAAGAGAGAGAATTGCAATATAATATTGTAAATACTGCAGAATGTCTTGAGGTATAAAGAGTGACCAACTCTTGCTAATAGGGTTAAAATTTGTATACATTATGACATTTAATCTAATCTTGAAAGATTTGAGTAGGAATTTGTTAGGCAGATAAAAGAGAAGATATGTCATGGATCTGATTAGAAAATTTTTACATGAAGTAATTCTTTGTGTAGGGGATGGTGATATTACTGGGGATTGAACCCAGTGATACTCTTATCACTGGACAACATTCCTATCCATTTTTATTTTGAGACAGTCTTGCTTAATTGCTGAGGCTGGCCTCAAACTTGAGAGATCCTTTTGCTTCAGAGTCCTAAATTGCTAGGATTATAGGCATGCACCACCATGCCTGGCATAAAATAATTCTTAGAATATTAAAACTTCATCATTCAAAAAATTTAAATAAGATCTTAACACTGTTTTTATTTAAAGCCTTTTAGAGATCAATTAATTATATATTTTTAATTCTCTTTAAAAATTTTTTGAAAATATTTATTTAGTTGTAGATGAACACACAGTATCTTTATTTATTTTTATGTGGTGCTGAGGATCAAACCCAGTGCTTCACACATGTGAGGCAAGCGCTTGACCACTGAGCTACAGCCCCAACCCCTAAAAATTTTTTTTTTTTTTTTTAATATTTATTTTTTTAGTTCTCGGTGGACACAACATCTTTGTTGGTATGTGGTGCTGAGGATCAAACCCGGGCCGCACGCACGCCAGGCGAGCGCGCTACCGCTTGAGCCACATCCCCAGCCCCTAAAACTTTGTTTTTAAGTTGTAGACACAGTACTGTTATTTTATTTTTATGTGGTGCTGAGGCTCAAACCCAGTGCCTCACATGTGCTAGGCAGGTGCTCTATATACCACTGAGCTACAACCCCAGCTCAATTAATTAAACATTAACACTTTTTTTTTTTTCCTTCTGGCTATGCTGGGAGTCTAACCCAGGGGGCCTCACATATGCTACACAGGTGCTCTACCAATGAGCTACATTCCCAGCCCTGTAAATATTAACAATTTAAATGGAATTTAGTTCAACTGTCTCATTTTAGGGTTGAGAAGTCAAGTAACCTTTCTATGTTCACATGTCTTAGGAAAAATATAATTGGTACTTGTTGTTCTAGGTAATTTCCAAAGTGTGGAAATTGGTTAAAGTATATGGGGCAACCTTGGGTATATGTTAGAAATAAAATACAAATTTGACAGTTTATACCTTTTGACTGCAGTGTAGTATTATGTTAGGGAGTTAGAAAGGACAGATGAATATGTTTTATATAGCTGCAAAGACATCTTCTAACAGGAATTAAAATTGCTTCAGTTATTTCACTAAGAATGAAACCTGCTTAGAAGTCACATAAAGAGCATAGGAAGAATTGGAGCTTTTTTCCCCTTAGAAGTCTAATGAAATCAGTTCTAAAGGGGTTTTATTTTGTTTCGTTTGGGCATTAGGGATTGAACCCTGGGTACTTTACTACTGAGCTACATTTTCAGCCCCTCTTATTTTTTATTTTGAGGCAGGGTCTCACTGAATTGATGAATCTGGCCTGGATCTTGAGATTCTTCTGCCTCAGCCTCTTGAACTGTTGGAATTACAAGTGCATTTGACCATGCCTGGCAATTCTGAAGTTTTTTTAAATTACTGAAATTAAGAGAATAGCTAACATTTATTATGCCATAGTACTAGTCTGTGCTTACACTTATTAACTCATTTAATCCTCACAACTATTCTATGGAATAGGTTATTATTTTCATTTTTACAGATTAGGAAAATGAGACTCCCCAAATTCACAGCTTATAAATAGTGTTGCTGAGATTCATATTCAGGCAACATCATTCCAGAACCCAGATTCTGAAGTGTCTCAATTAGGACAGCTATTTTAAAAATTGGAGAATCTGATACACAGGAATTGGTAGCAGAACCACCAAGGAATTGACTGGTTATCTCTAGGTCTTCTTAGCTAAAGAGTTAGTTGATAAAGGCCATATATTAATGTACATCTGGTAAATCAGTTTATCTGTGTTGAATTCATCTTTCTTCTACTGCGTATGATTTGGTTAATACAGTCATGTGGCATCTGAAAGGAATAAAAGGTGTGCCATGTTACATCTTTTGTGTATTATATATATAAAGATCATTAATAGAGTCTTCTTGTTGTTAAAAACACTGTGGGACTGGGGTTGTGGCTCAGTAGTAGAGCACTCGCCTAGCGCGGGTGAGGCATTGGGTTTGATCCTCAGCACCACATAAAAATAGATAAATAAGAGTAAAGGCATTGTGTCCACAACTAAAAAAATACTTAAACAAACAAACAAACAAAAAAACACACTGTGAGTAAATCTTGGGTTATTATGTATGTGGGTTTTTTTTTTTTTTTTTGTGTGTGTGTGTGTGTGTGTGTGTACACCAGGGGATTGAACCCAGGGGCACTTAACCACTGAGCCACAAACCCAACCCTTGTTCTGTTTTATCTTTTTTCTGTTTTATTTTTGTGTGGTGGTGCTGAGGATTGTATCAGGGCCCTGTGCATGTGAGGGAAGTACTCTACCAACTAAGCTATATCCTCAGTCCATCTGTTTTATTTTGAGACAGGGGCTCACTAAGTTGCAGAGGCTGGCTTTGAACTTATGCTTCTCCAGCCTCAGCCTCCAAGATGCTGGGATTATAGGTGTGAACCACCATGGCTATTTTGTTTGCTTTTAATAATCTTTGTATTGTACTATCTCTTCTGCTCGCAGACTATTTCGAATTAGATGAACCTTTTTTCCTTTTTTTTAATATTTATTTTTTAGTTGTATGCACATAATACCTTTATTTTATTTATTTATATGTGGTGCTGAGGATCAAACCCAGGGTCTCACACGTGCTAGGCAAGTGCTCTACCGCAGAGCCATAACCCCAGCCCTGAGCCTTTTTTTCTTTATTTTCTTTTTTTTTTTTCCTGGTACTGGGAGTTGAACCCAGGGGTGCTTTACCACTGAGTTACATATCCAGTCATTTTTATTTTTTATTTTGAGACAGCGTCTCACTAAGTTGTCTAGGCTGGCTTAGAACCTGAGATCCTCCTGCCTTAGCCTCCCCAGTCACTGGCATTACAAGCATGTACCACCACACTATCATGCCCAGTTTAGAATTAGATAAATTTTGATATAGAAATAAATATTGAAATAGAAAATAAATAGTAATAAATATTGATATAGAAATTCTCCCGAAATATAAAGATGTATCTAAATTTTAAAAGTTCTTTACTGCAGAAATTTTTTTTAAGTGCCTCAGGTGATTATGATAATGAGCTAGGCTTAGGAACTACTGCAATAGTAGCCCACACTATCATTTCAGTGAAATTCTAGGCCTGACATAATTTTGTGGGTGCTGTCAGTAAATGGTCTTAATTATTTTTAGCAGCTTTTAACATTCCTACTTTTTTTTTTTTCTTATTTCTTTACAGTACTTTATGCCAACGTGGCTTCATTCATACAGATGAACCAAGGATTGGGATAGCAGTATAAAATTAGAATAAGACAGTTGACTGCCCAGCAGGATGCCATCAACTAACAGAGCAGGCAGTCTAAAGGACCCCGAAATTGCAGAGCTCTTCTTCAAAGAAGATCCAGAAAAGCTCTTCACAGATCTCAGAGAAATTGGCCATGGAAGCTTTGGAGCAGTCTATTTTGTAAGTGTTCAAGGGTTATGTCAGAGTACAAAACAAAAATATAAAGAGATCTAGAGTTTGCTCAGTAGAAGGATTCTTAATATGCTCTCACAACATGCTTCTTATACCACATGTATCTACAAACATCAAGCAGTCAATTCTGCAGCAAACATCAACTCAATGTCCTCTAATTCAATTTTTGTACCAATAGTATCCACAGATTGTGTCAGATCCCACAGGGTGAGGGTTCAGTCCCATTAGACTGCCCCATCCCCACTTCAGATGCCAGTTGAAATTTCCAGGTTGTGTTTCTGACTGACGAGCTAGAAATCTCGGTTTAACAACCCCTTTTTGGAGTTTTATTATTTTGCTGGAGTAGTTTACAGTATTAGGGGAATCAGTTTATCATGATTATATAGGATGTTTTAAAGATACAAATACTTCTCTTCACACATCCAGATAAAGAGATGTAGAATGAAGTCTAGAATGCTAGATAAGTTCTTCTTTACTTTCTTGGAAGCCTCTGAACTCAGTCCTTTTGGGCTTTTTATTATTGTGATTGATTAAATTATTGGTCACTCGTATTTAACTCAACCTTCAGAGTCTTTTCCTTCTCCTGAAGGTTGGGGTTGAGGTTGTGAGTTCTAAACCTGAGTATGTAGTTTGTTTCCTTGGCAACTAGCCCACCATCCTGTGGCTATCTAGAGACTTTCCACAAACCATCTCTTTTACTCATTTTGCTCCAGCATTCCAAATATTATATGTGCTCAATTTCCTACTATTTATAGGATGGCTTATATATATATGTAAAAGATACTATATTGTTCCAATGTCTAATTTATAGAGTGACTTACACTTTCCTTACTTCCCTCCCTCCCTCCTTCCCTCTTTTCCTCTCTCCTCTCTTTCTCGCTTCCTCTCCATGGGGATGGAACCTAGACCTGCGTGAATGCTACACAAGTACTCTAGCACTGAATCACATTTCAGCCCCATGTCTTTTCCATTTTAACTGAACATTTATCATGCACAGTAGCCATAATTTTTACAGTTTAAGTGTGATAGCAAAACTAGCACAGATTTTTTTCTTCATAATTTCATTCTTACTGTAGATTTTATCAACAAAAGCATACAGTTTTTTTTCCCCTCCTTATTAAATCAAGAACTTATCTTAAGTTGCTGTTTTACTTATAGGAAATACTTTATGATTTCTCTTTTGACACATCCAAATTGCCAACAGTACTACTCTTGTGCTTAAGGGCTATTAAATCATTAATTGACCCAAGCATTGGATACTATAGCAGTTATATCAGGTAACAAAAGAAGTTTGTTAAGTCATTAATGGGTGGGTAGCATATGCACCATGGATACTCTGGACAAAGAGATTATTCATTCATGTCCTGGGCAGGATGGAGAAATTACTCAGAACAGCACACAATTTAAAACTTTCAGAGAAAGTCTCTCTTTTGGCTTTGAAGAAGAGAGAGGATCACAAAAGAAGATCAGAGAGATCTTGGTTTTCAGTCTGCATTTTAGTTCAGAGTACTGATCATGTCAAATGGCCATATTTTGTGATACTGTTTTCTCAACAAGTTCCTGTTTTCAATTTTGAATGTATACTGAGGAATGGAATCTTAGGTTCTGTGTTTATCTTAGAGGAACTGTCAAACTGCACCATAGTAGCTGTACCACCAGCAGATTAAAAGTGTTCCAGTATCTCTACATCTGTGACAATGTTATAGTTTCATTTATGTTATTTTGATTATAGCCATCATGCTAGATGTGAAGATCTCATTGAGGTTTTGATTTGCATTTCTTTAATGACTAGTGATGTTGAAGGTCTTTTCATGTGCCATTTGTATTTCTTCTTTGCCCATTTGTGAAATTGTTGTTTTTTCCTTTTTTCATTAAGGTGTAGAAGTTCTTTATACATATTCAGGGTATTAAATCTTTTTTTTTTTTGGTGCAGTGCTTAACCCAAGGTTTCTAGCCTGCTGGGCAAGTGTTGTACCACTGAATTATACTCCCACTCAGGATATTAAATCTTTATCATGATTTGCAAACATTTTCTCCCATTCTGTAGTTTATCTCTTCCTTTTCTTGATAAATTTTTTTAAATATTGTTTTTAATTGTTGTTGGACCTTTATTTACTGATATGTGGTGCTGAGAATCGAACCTGGTGCCTCACACATGCTAGGCAAGAGCTTTACCTCTGAGCCACAACCCCAACCCTGATAAAATATTTTGTTACACAGAAGTTTACATGTCTTGGTCTCCTTTTCAAATGAGTTCACCATATTATCTAGGTTTATTTCTGAACTCTTGATTCTGTTACATTTTTTTGTATGCCTACACTATTTTGATAGCCTAGAATATGCAAAATAGATGCACCACACTATTTTGATTATTGTGCCTTCGTAGTAAGTTTGATTTCAAGAAGTTTTTCTTTCCCAATTTTTTTATTCTTTATAAGGATTATTTTAGGGCCCATTAAAATTCAAATATTAAGTCTTCTAAGTCCATGAACACAGGATGACTTTCTAAATATTTGTTTAGATCTTTAATTTTTTACAGCTGTATTTCAAAGGGTTTGTTTTTGTTTTGTGGTGCTAGGAATTCAAACCAGGACTTACATGCTAGATAAGTACTCTACCAATGAACTATCTCTCCACTCCCTATTTTTGAGTTTTAAATGTGCAAATGTTTCACTTCCGTTAAATTTATTTCTAAATGGAATTACTTTCTAAATTTTCTCTTTGAATTTTTTATTGCTGCTGTATATAAACATAGCTGATTTATATATTAATCTTGTATCTGACAAGTTAGCTGAATTTATTTGCTTTGATAGCTTTCTTTTGAATTCTTTGGAATTTCTATATTTAGGAGCACATTGTCTGCAAATGGAGCTGTTTTACTTATTCCTTTGAAACTTGGATGGCTTTGATTTATTTTTCCTGTCTTAGTTGCTCAGATTTTAACAGCTGTACAATTGCCTTATTTTCCTTTACTTCTTTTACCCTCAAATTGACCAAAAAAAAAAAAAAAGGAATATAATGATGTTCATCACAGCATTATATTTAATAGCAAGAAAAAGAGAGAAAGAACCTAAATATCTAATCATATGAAATGATAAAGCAAATTATGATAAATCAAATATATAATGAAATCTAGAGAGCAACTAAATATTATACATAAATTAATATAAAAAATAAGAAATTCCACAAAATAAAACAAACAATGTGTTTGTTTTAGAAAACAAATGGTGAATGACAGCATATATATATAAACTTATGTGTAAAAGATATGTAGGGGCTGAGGGTGGCTCAGTTGCAGAGTGCTTCCCTGGCACATCTGAGACACTGAGTTTGATCGTCAGCACCCCACAAAAATAAATGAAATATAGGTATTATGTCCATCTACAACTAAAAAAATATTTATATATATATGTATGTAGGATGTAGAGTGATTCTTTCATCAGGGAAGCCATTTGATTCTTGACTTTTCTTTCTAGGGAGGTTTTTGTTTTTGTACTGGGGATTAAACCCAGGGGTGTTTGACCACTAAGCTACATCTCTAGCCTGTCTTTTTATTTCTTATTTTTTATTTTGAGACAGGAACTCATTAACAGGACTTGATAAGGTAGGCCTTACTAAATGACTGAGAGTAACTTTGAACTTGGCAATTCTCCTGCCTCAGCCTCTGGAGCCACTGGAATTATAGGTGTATGTCATCATGCCCAGCCTCTTGGGAGGTTTTTGATTACAGATTCAATCTCTCCCTCCCTCCCTCCCTCTCCCTCTCTCCCCCCCTCCCTCTCCCTTTATTTTTTATTTTTTTTTTAATGGTGCTGAGGATCAAACCCAGTGCCTCACACTGTTATTAGATCTATTAAGATATTTAAAAATTTTCTTGAGTTAGGTAATTTTGGGGTTTCTAGGAATTTATTTTTATCTGATTCATGGGCAATGGTGTTCTCATATAATCCTTTTTTGGCTTTTATGAATAAAATTGCTGTGAACATTCTTATCCCGGTCTCTTTGTAGACTTACAATTCCATTTTTCTGCATAAATACTGAGAATGGAATTGTTGGGTCATAGGGCAGATATAAGTTTAGTTTTGTAACAAATTTCCATACTTTTTCATCAAGACAGAAATTTTATACTCCTGGCAGCAGTGCACAAGAATTCTGTTTGCTTTATGTCCTCGCCAACCTTTGATGTTGACAGACATTTGAATTTCAGCCATTATGATGGATGTGTAGTACTCTTTTTTTAAGCATTTTTTAAATTTATTTTTTAGCTGTAGTTGGACACAACACCTTTATTTATTTATTTGTTTATCTATCTGTCTGTCTATCTTATCTATCTGTGGTGATGAGGATCAAACTCAGGGCTTCGAACTGCTAGGCGAGCACTCTACCACTGAGCCAGGACCCCAGTCCAGGATGTGTAGTACTCTTTTATATGGTTTTTATTTTGTTATGAGAGGGTATCTCAGTTTGTTGCCCAGGCTGGTCTTGAACTCATGGGCTCAAACCATCTTCCCCACTCAGCCTCTCAAATAACTGGGATGACAGACATACAACACTGTGCGCAGCTCAGTATGGTTTTAATATCTTTCCTTCTTGATTGGTTCTGTTGAGTGCCTTTTCATGGGTTTAATGGCTATTTACATATCTTTGGCAGTGTCTGTTAAAATATTTTGTCCTTTAAAAAAAAAAAGGCCCTATTTTTCTTTTTTGATTTGTAGGAGGAGTTCTTTTTATGTCCTAGCATTTGTCAGTACTCTTTTGTTTTCTGTTGGTTAGGGTCCCACTGTGTGTCCCAGACTGGTCTTGATCTTGTGGGCTCAAGTGATTCTGCCGCATCAGCCTCTTAGGTAGCTGGGATTACAGGCATGTATCTTCATGTCAGGATACTATATGTTTTGCAAATGTTTACTATATTCAGTTAGGAGTTATGCTTAGTATATACCAGGAGGACAAATATGGTTGATTAACTTCTTCAGAACTTGGGAATCCTT